TTAGAAATATATTAATAATCTTTTAGCTATACTGACTTAACCTAGGGAAGACTAAGCAGCTTCTCTGATCTGACAACTTTTGCAACTCTTAAAATAGTAACACAGTAAACAAATGTGATTTTTTTTTTAATACCATCTCTATTTTTATGAGGCAAAGGAAACAGATCTCTGTGATTTTCCAGAACCCCTCTAGGAAATTTCAAATATAGTTTTAGGTGTAAAAAATATCCTAAACAATTTTCCCCCAAAATATAGGGCTCAAGCTGGGAAGGCAAAACCAAAATTATTGTCAGAGGATACTTATCTTTAGATACTTAAGATAGGAGCACAGGTGCCTAAAAAAACAGTACTTGGCTATCTATATAATCAGGGCAAGAAGACTTGGGAAATAAATACAGAAAACAACACCATCTTAAAGAATTTAGCTCTTTTTACAAATGAGGGCCCTTGTTCTTCTTTTCAGTCCTTAAATAATCAAGAACTTTTCAAATCAGCATAAAGCTCTGAAAAGGATTTTGGTGAGACAAAATCTCTGCTAGCTAGGCAGATTCCATAGAAGGTAAGGAATATCCTTTTGCATTGTAGTCCAAGGCATTAATCAGCAAACTAAGGAAGCAAACGATCAAAACCAAGGGAGGAACTATACCAAGATTATAATGTATTTTGCAGCTTTTTTTTTAAGACTCCCGAGTGTTATAAACCATAGTAAGCAAAATTCACTTTCCATGTTTTGTCCTTTATTTTTCCTCTTTGATACTCTGGAACAAATTTATATTTTACTTTAAAATTGCCTTTTTCATTCAAGCTCTCTCAAAAGTATAAAATGGAGTTTTCCAGAGGCTACATGAGTGACATCATAATGCCCACAGAAAGAGATGAGTGTCTGGCTCTCTCCTGCTAAGCCAGACATTAGAAAGACTTGCACAGATATTAAACAGTGCCATTTTGCCTTCAGAATATTTTGTTTTGGAAAATACATTTTCCCCCAAATATATATTATTTGGTTAAAAGGGAATGGATTCATCATTGCTGTTTTCAGATGGATCAATAGTTTTAAAATTTCTCAGATTGATTTCACGTATATTGATAGTTGTCGTTCAGTTGCCAAGTCGTGTCCAACTCTTTGAGACTCCACAGAACGCAGCATGCCATGCTTCCCTGTCCCTCACCATCTCCCAGAGTTTGCCTAAGATCATATCCATTGAATCAGTGATGCCATCCACCCATCTTATCCTCTGTCACCCTCTTCTCCTTCTGCCTTCAATCTTTCCCAGCATCAGGGTCTTTTCCAATGAGTCGGCTCTTCACATTTAGGTGGTCAGTTATATTGATAGTTACCATCAGGCCAGTTATGTTGGTAGTTACCACTCACTTAAACTAAAGCTCTTTGGTGTCCTCAAATAAGACTTGAGAATGTAAAGGGGTCCTGAGACTAAAAAGTTTGAGAACCACTGCTTTAAAACTCTCATTTTTTTTCCCTCCCCAAAACAAAAACACAGACACAGTTGTATTTCCTTCTCATCATTGCACCTGGCACTGTCTCAGCCACCCATTTTAATTCTAGTAATTAACCAAAGTAACTAACTTATTTTGTAGAGAAAACTGGAAGGACAGAGGATATGGATAATTGAGAACTTTCCATCATATGGAGCATCTTAGCACAGCTCATGAAACATGTGACATCAGCTTCTACTGCAATCACTTTTACATCCCTCATAGCTCAGTTGGTAAGGAATCTGCCTGCAATGCAGGAGACCCGGGTTCATTTCCTGGGTCAGGAAGATCCCCTGGAGAAGAGAATGGCAACCCACTCCAGTATTCTTACCTGGAGAATCCCATGGGCAGAGGAGCCTGGCAGGCTACAGTCCACAGGGTTGCAAGAGTTGGATGTGACTTAGCGACTGAACCACCAAAGTGGTAAAAGAAAGGAATATGTTCATTTGACATGACTCATCTAAGTTATGTTGGGCTTCCCAGGTGGCGCAGTGGTAAAGAATCCCCCTGCCAATGCAAAAGATGCAGGAGATGGGGGTTTGATCCCTGGGTTAGGAAGTAAGAAATGGCAACCTGCTCCAGTGTTCTTGCCTGGAAAATTCCATGGACAGAGAAGCCTGGCAGGGCTTCAGTCCATGGGGTCAAAAAGAGTTGGACATGACTGAGCACACATATGCCTAAGTTAGTCTCTTTATAGCACATAAAAATAAGCAAACATATATAATCTTAAATATTATGCTTTACAGTTGAAATTTCAGTAACTTATTTAGAAATGATCGAGACTTCCCTGGTGGTTCAGTGGTTAAGAGTCCACTAAAGCAGTGGACGCAAGTTCAATCCCTAGTCGAGGAACTAAGATTCCACATGCCAAAGGTCTACTGAGCCCTCAAGCCATAACCAGAGAGAAGCCTGAATGCTCCAAGGAAAGACTCTGAATGCCCTATGACCTGATGCAGCCAAAAATAAATAGATTAATTTTTTTAAAAAAGAAAGAAATTATCTAGTGTAGGTGTCTCAGTTCAGTTCAGTCACTCAGTAGTGTCCGACTCTTTGTGACCCCATGAATCGAAGCACACCAGGCCTCCCTGTCCATCACCAACTCCCGGAGTTTACTCAAACTCATGTCCATTGAGTTGGTGATGCCATCCAGCCATCTCATCCTCTGTTGTCCCCTTCTCCTCCTGCCCCCAATCCCTCCCAGCATCAGGGTCTTTTCCAATGAGTCAGCTCTTCGCATGAGGTGGCCAAAGTATTAGAATTTCATCTTCCACAGTGTAGGTGTCTAGTGACTGTTAATTAGCTCAACTTACTATGATTCCATTGTAAGTTACCCAAAGATCTTGGGAATTATCTTTAAGTTGGTATGCTACAAAACATAATTGTTATCTAAAGTTTATTAGAAACATTATTTAATTGAACCTGCTTATTTTTCATAATCTTAAATATTATATAGGCATAATATTAGCTTATTTGACCATTTATATTATGTAACTTTAGAAGAAATCAACCCGAGTAAAACAAAATGTACATTTGCATTATATTTAACATTAATAAATCCAGAAATAGACATGGCTGTGTTTTGAAACTCATCGCATTACTCTTATTTGCCAAACAGTTAACCTTAGTTTTGTGTACTTGGGAGTCTTAAAATATCACTGAGTTAGATAGTATTTTCTGTAAAATAATTTTTATTTTTAAGCCTAGTAATTTAAAGCATTAGGGGTTAATTTCCTTATTTTCTGTGAAGTTCAGGAATATTCAGTTTATATAAACATTTGCTTATCTTTATAAGCAAGTGCTTATAATTTAACAGGTACCATAATCTAATGTATTGACACCTTTAAAAATAGGAAAGCGTTCCATATACAAGAGGTAAAGACTGCCTGAATTTCAGACACAGACAGGCAGAGCTTAACAGCTTCAGTTCTACAACTGGAGCCACAAGTCAAAAGTAAACACAAAAACACACACACACAAAATCACCAATCCAGATTCCACAGAATTATTCTCCTTCCCAGTGAGCACATAATTCTCAATTAATTTGAGCTCAAAACAAGAATATTCAAACAAAAACCGCCAAGAAACCAGACTCCCCATTTCTTTCTCTCACAAGGTGGAGTAGATCTCTCTACCGTCTTTTGTTGGTGGTCACTACATTGTCAGACCCGTAAACTGGATTCCCCACCAGGAGGGAATAACTTGTCAGCCGTTTCCCAACCAGAGAGAAAAAGAAGACACAAACTGAGGAAAGAGGGCGTGAGAACTAGAGAGGGACGCTCAGTGAACTCAGGTCTGTTGCTGCTGTGGGTTCACCCTGGGAGCCGAGCTGGCGCCTCGCACCTCAGGCAGCACAGGTCACCTGGCTCCAGGTGCCCGATGGCCTTACAACTGTGACATGGACAGATGGCACAGATTTTATTTAATTGATCAATTAAGGAACCAGTAAGATTATAAGCAGTTCCACCGCTTTTTTCCTGAAGTGTTGGTAACTGACAGAGACCGCCTCTTCTTGGGGCCTTAGCATCTCACATGAGCATTTTAAACATTTGACCTGTGGTTGATTTACCATGTTGAGTTAGTTTTAGATATACAGCAAAGTGATCCAGTTATACATATACATATATTTGTTGTTGTCATTTAGTTGATAAGTTGTGTTCTACCCTTTTGCAACCACATGGACTTTAGCCCACAAGGCTCCTCTGTCCACAAGATTTCCCTGGCAAGAATACTGGAGTGGGTTGCCATTTCCTTCTCCAGGGGATCTTTCCAACCTAGGGATCAAAGCGGCATCTCCTTCGTTGGCCAGCAGGTTCTTTACCACTGAACCACTAGGGAAGAACATATATATATATTCCATATGCTATACAGTAAATCCTTGTTGTTTATTTTATATGTAGTGGTGTGTATCTGCTAATCCCATAATCACAATTTATCCCTTCTCCACGTGCCCCTTTGGACATAAATCATAGCAGTATTTTCTCAGTTAGTGTCCCAAGGCAAAAGAAATGAAAGCAAAAATAAGCAGATGGACCTAATCAAATTTACAAGCTTTTGCACAGTAAAGGAAGCCATCAGCAAAACGGAAGGACAGCCTATGGAACAGGAGAAAATATTTGCAAAAGATACAATCAGCAGAGGCTTCATTTCCCAAATACATAAACACCTCAGACAACGCAACATCAGAAAACAAACAACCCTATCCAAAAAAAATGGCAGAAGACACCTAAGTAGGCATTTCTCCAGAGAAGACCTGCAGATGGCCAGCAGGCACATGAAAAGATGTTCAACACTGCTAATTATTAAATGAGCATTTTGACTTATTTTAAATGTTGAAAGTCTCTAGTACTCTCCCGACGTTAGCACGTGGACCATTCCATTCCAGTCTCCAAGTTCTGCTCTTGGGCGGCACTCGGGGGTGAGCCTGCACGTGAGTCACCGCCAGGCTTCCTGCCCTCGGGGCTCCCCCTGCCCTCGGGAACTGTCACTGACTCTTGCTTCTTCGGCAGTGACAAAGTCCAGGCCCTGTCCTACGCACAGCACACGCGGCAGCTCATCTCCTGTGGCGGTGATGGCGGGATCGTGGTCTGGAACATGGACGTGGAGCGGCAGGAGGTAGGTTCACAGATGGCTCGAGCCACCCCTCCATGGCCACTGGGCTGGGCTCTGCACCTCCGACTCTGCTGAGAAACGCCTCAGCCTCCCCTCCTGCTCACTTTTTTTCTTTTGGTTGTGCTGGGTCTTTGTTGCTGTGTAAGCTTTGCTGTAGTTGCGGCTAGCTGGGGCTCCTCTAGTGGTGAGTGGGCTTCTCATTGCAGTGGCTTCTCTTGTTGCGGAAGGCGGCTTTAGGGCACTGAGGCTTCCGCGGTTGCGGCCTTGGGCTCGAGAGCACAGGCTCAGTAGTTGTGCGCACAGGGACTTAGTGGCTCTGCCGCGTGTGGAATGTTCCTGGGCCGGGGATCGAACCCCTGTCTCCTGCATGGGCAGGCAGATTCTTTACCGCTAAACCACCAGGGAGGCCCACTTTTTTCTTTGAGAAAACCAGGAAAATAAGACCTGTTTTGTCAGAAAATCAGAAAAACAGTAATAGTAGAATAAAATACAATTCTAGTATGAAAGGAGCTTCCTTTTATAAGCTGCTCACAAAGTGGCACGTAATACTCAGGCAGTGGAGATGTGTCAGAAGACTGAGACTAAGCTGTTTAGACTTCAAATCTACTGCACCATTTACAACACAAGTTCAGAGGAGAAGAAACATTTATTTTCAGGTATTTATAACCCTTTGGTATAAAGTGAGCTATGAAAGCAGACCACTTGGTCCTTTATGTTATTGGGGGAAATGGCGGCTGGTGTGTGTGTGAGAAGTGGTATTTGATGAAGAATCCTAGTTTGGTATTAATAGAAACATTAGAAATAATTTTTTGTGTTTATGAGTCACATTCTAAACAGTTCTCCAGATATAGCTATATACATTGTCATTTTTAAGCGTTTATTTAAGTTTTGTCATGACATTCTTTTTTCTTTTTTTTTCATTTACTATTTACACAATTTCTTATTGAGATAAAATCTACGGAACATGAATTTTGCCAATTTCACCATAACATTCTTTTTTCAATGAATTTGCTTTTTCATTGTTCAGCATCATAACATCTGGTTTGTTTACTGAACGTCCCCTTTGACAAGTACTTTGAAGTTAACCATTTTCTCATTTCCCTAGAATAATGCTGGGTAAATTTTCCCTTTGACCATGTGTATTCTAATGTGTCCTCACAGGATACAAGAATTAGAAGAGCAACACTTTAAAAATTAGACAAAAAGTAAAAATTAGACCAAGGCCATTTCCCAACTTCTTTCCACAGCCTCACCCCAATCTCATTTCAAGAGAGTCGTTGCCATTACCCACAATGCTGTGCCTTTCAAATGCCAGTAATTAAATGCTTAAGAAGATTAAAGCTTGATTTGCTCAAACTGTAAATCCACAGGAGTTCTATTAGTAACTAATTAAAATGATCCTTTCAGTCAGGAAGTGGGGAATTGTGGAATATTGCTTTTGAAAATACAGTTTGGCCCCATTGGCATACAGACAGTGTGTGCCAGCCAGGTGCGTGGCGGCCTGCTTTGGGTGGGGGACAGTCACGCCCGGTGTATCCAGGCTTCTTCCCAGGCTTGACTGACCGACCAGACCCGGGCAGGGGAGCCGCTGGGCTCATCCCCCTGTGTGCACACAGCCTCTGCCCTCGATAGACAGCAGTCCAAGGAGGCTACCAGTGCACTCTCCAGAGAAGGAAGCCAGGCGGTCGGTCGGTGGGCAGTCCTTGGAGCCACCTTGCTACAGTGATGCCTTTTGACATGCAGATATATGGGCAGTTGGTACTTGTTGACTATTGTAAATCTTCTCAAGTGATTGAAAGCTCTAACTGAGCGGTGGCGACGGTTGCACCTATTTTTCGCAGTGTCATATATGATAAACGTGCAGCCTCCCAAGTGTATCCGGGGCTGCTTTCCACTTGTGATAGGTGCCGTGCAGTGCTCAGCTCAGGAACGTAATGAAACTGTCCCTGCCCCGAAGGGCTGGGAGCCTTTCTGGAAGAAAAGATGTGGAGGGGAAAGCTTCAGAAAATGATTCGATGGTATAAATAAATCAACCACAGTTGATAGGAGTTAGAGCATCAGAGCTGGGGCTTGTCACCATCAGCTCGCCTTCCAGTGAAGGGTTTGTGGCAGGAGAGAGTGAGCGCACTCTGACCAAGACAAGAAACACCAGGAGCAAAGACCAAGCGAGCGGGAGTGGTGGCGTGCAGAGCGATGCGCGCGGAGCGGATGGGGTGGCAGCCAGAGGGCGGGCAGGTGGGGGATGGCCTTGAGTGGCTGAGCAGAGATCTGTTTGACATCTTGATGTAGGTTAAACGTGTGTTTATACATTTAACAAAATCGGATTTTTCACAATTTTATTATTTTTTTAAGTATGCATAATACACGTTCTTTGTAGGAAAATTACAGTGCTCGTTAACAAAGAGAATGTCGGTTACTCAGGGTTGTTGCTGAGTTGCTAAGTCATATCCCAGCTATTGCAACCCCATGGACTATAACCCATCCAGGCTTCTCTGTCCATGGGATTTCCCGGGCAAGAATACTGGAGTTGGTTGCCATTTCCTTCTCCAGGGGACCTTCCCAACCCAGGGACTGAAGAATCTAGCAGATTCTTTACAGCTCGGCCACCGGGGAAGCTCATCCATGATATCACCACCCAGAAGTATCACCCTTCACATACTGGCAAACATCCCTTCTTACATTTTTCTCTGCAGTTACACATGTTAGATTTTTCTTTTTTTGACAAAAAAGAGAATCGTACTACACATGCTGATTTTTTCCCCCCCTTTTCAGAGCCCTACTCTCAGTTCCTCTTAGACACCCACTGACGTGTTTTGTACACATCCTAAACCTGCATGCTTCCTTGTAAAACATGGGTGTGTGTGCGTTTTGTAAGTCTTCCTTAGTTTCCTACGTCATGACTGTTCCGAAAAATCACAACATAGATAAGTCTTTTAGGGGTAAACTGTTGTCTTCAGCTAAGAAACTTTGTATTATTTTATTGATCTGTCTTTACATGAATTAGAGCATGAAAATTACCAGGTAAATCGAGACACTTCTTTCCCTCAGTTTTTGGAGTTTTTAAAAATGTATTATCATTCTTTCTGTACCCTTGTCATTGCACTCTGCATTTTTTATTTTTTCGGTTGTGCCGTACAGCATGTGGGAATCTACTTCCCTGATCAGGGATATGACTCAGGCCCCCTGTATTGGAAGCTCAGTGTCTTAACTACGACCACCAGGGAAGTCCCTTTTCCTCAGTTTTAATAAAATAAATAAACTTCCTTAAAGTGTCATCTTTTTACTTTTTTTTTTTTTTCTCCTGAGAAAATATACAGCTTTAGGTTTGTTTCTGCTTAAAGCTAGGGGAGAACTTCCCCAGGTTCAATTCCTGGTCCTGGAAGATTCCACATGCCATGGGGCAGCTAAGCCCGTGCGCCTCAACTATTGAGTCTGCGCTCTAGGGCTGGTGAGTCACAACTACTGAAGCCCTAGAGTCCATGCTCAGCAACAAGAGAGCGGCCCCTGCTCACTGCAACTAGAGAATGCCTGTGCAAAGCAATGAAGACCCAGTGCACCCAGAAATAAATAAAGTAAATTTTTACAAAAGAATATAAGGATTCTTTTTAAAATAAAAAATAAAGGTAGGGAAATAGACTAACCCTGCTGACTCTGATGTGACAGCGGACTAGTGCTTCTCTGAATACCCACTGTGGTCAGGTCCTGTCCCCCCAGCACATGTAGCTGCATGCCAGTGTAATAAGCAGATGTATATAATTGTACACAGTCAGAGAGAATATAATTGTGTATGATCAGAGAGTATGAGATAATTGCATATGATCAGAGACTATGAGATAAAGTCCTAAACCAACATAGCTGTCTGTGGTGTGGTCCCTACATCCAGCCCCTCCAGCCTCAGCCCTTTACACCCTCTCCCACCCCCAGCCCTGCTCTCCCCACCCCCACACTGCGCTCCAGCCATCCTGCCCCGCTCTCAGCCCTGTATGCCTGGCGGCCTGTCAACCATCCCCAGATCTCAGCTTGTTATCACTTGTCAGAGATAAATCCTGAACCCCACCCTGGACCATCCTGTTCTCATAGCTCTCTGTGCTTCCCTTTCTCTGGCCTTTGATCTACTGTTTCAAATAATAACTGCTGCTAATATGATTGTCATGTTTCATCTTCGCTCATATTATGAGCTCCATGGCGTTAAATTCTTTTTCTTCCCCACTGCATCACCAGGACCTGACCCATCACGAGGCATTCAGTAAATAGTTTTTAAATGATTGAGAAATCACATGTGTTTCTTAGAGACACATCTTGACCGCGTAAGTTTCAGCGGTGTCGCTGCACCACGATCCTCACTGCTTCTCACTGTCACCTGTTGTGTGCTTTATTTGGCAAGACCCCTGAATGGTTGGACAGTGATTCCTGCCAAAAGTGCGATCAGCCTTTTTTCTGGAACTTCAAGCAAATGTGGGACAGTAAGAAAATTGGCCTGAGACAGGTGGGTGATATGCTTGCTTCATCAAAATGTTATCACCTAGAAATAACTTTACCTTGTGATATTGGAAGAAATAGCATCCCTGGGTGGGAGCTGTGATGGGGGTAAGTTATTCTCTAGGAGTTGCTTTGTGCTGAATCTATTCCCTTTCTCTACTGAAGCTCATTCCTACTGGATTTAGCTTCTGTAGTGACTTGTTCCCAGTAGTTAAGAGATATGATTTTAGAATTCTAGTGGCATCTAGTGAAACATACCTTAAAATTAGAGAGGCCAAGCTTAGCTCAAATGGTACCAAACCATGAAATTATGTAAGTGATACTTATTTCTCTTTAATTTCACTTTTGTTCCTTCTGTCTTAGTTTTAGTTATTTAGATCTACTTATAAGACAGCATTTTCAGCCTGATTCTCTGGTTGAGTTTGGTCTGCAGTCACCCAGCTTGAGCACCGCCAACATGTAGACAGTGAATTGAGCCTGATTTCATCCCAGTTCTTCACCGAACAGGTGATCTCTGGAGGTGGCACTTCCTGCGTAAACCCTCCGTACACCCGACACCCTTAAGATAACCCGACTGCAGGATGGGTCCTCTGGTTCACCTTGATGATAACTGGAAAGGACCAAGACTGGGGAAAGGGGTGCTCGGGGCCGTGGCACAGTCAGATTTACTTCCTAAACAGTCCTCATTCTGAGTAAACAGAATCCAAAAAGAAGAGCACCTGGCACGTGCTTCCAATGCGCTGGGGCCCTCCCGTTGACCCTCCGCACCTGGAGGCTGTGGGTCACACCTGGGCGTACCTGGCGCGGCAGAGGCAGGCAGGCACAGTGAGCACGTTTTCTCTTCCCTCCAGCACCACTGCCGCAAGTGCGGGAAGGCGGTCTGCGGCAAGTGCAGCTCCAAGCGCTCCCCGATCCCGCTGATGGGCTTCGAGTTTGAAGTGAGGGTGTGTGACAGCTGCCACGAGGCCATCACAGATGAGGAGTAAGTCCTAGCAGTCTGCAGAATTTTCAAGGTTAAGGGGCGAGTGCGATCCGAGCGCTGTGCCGAGCCCCGTAGCCACGAATGATGGCACCCTGGTTCCTGGTGGTTTCCAAAACGGACCGTGGCAGGTGGGCAAAGCCCTCCTTTCCACCAGGAGGTGGTGTTCCCTTGTGAGGCAAGAGGAGAGAGTGTAGCGCTGAGGAATCATCTCTGTGCTGTTGTCAATCCCAGGGGTTTGTGCATTGAAAATAGATGTTCTTGGAGCAAATCCTCTGCCTGCTCATTTACTGGAGAATTGCCCAGGAGTACAGGAGCCCGAGCTTCAAGCTTCACTTTTAGCCCGAGCTGGTATCTTTGCAGGAGCGATAAGCCCATGGGCTCCAGAGGTTTTATTTTCCAGAAAGAGCCGAGTCTCTTCTTCTAAGAGTCTTGTACCACCAATGCGCAGCTGCAGAATCTTGCTGGTTGGTCTTGCCCAATAACCCAGGACCTGAGATTGCAGTGCTTTTGTGTGTGTGTGTGTTGGGGGGTGGGGAGTGAAGATCCATGTTGTCTTTTTCTTTTTTTTCTTTAAAATTTTTTAAATTCTCTTGGCCATGTTGCACAGCATGTGGGTTATTAGTTTCCCAACCAGGTATCAAACCCTCGCCCCTTCCATTGGATGCTCAGAGTTTTAACCACTGGATTGCCAGGAAAGACCCCATGTTATCTTTTTAATGTTAGCTGTTGCAAACTGCCCTCCATGTAAACAGTGTTCTTCACCAAGTGTCCCTTTGAGTGAATTAGAATCTCATAGGGGACTTGTCTGCCCAATTCTCACTGCACCCCCCCCCCATATAATGTAGTAATATCATTTTAAGTACTAGATGGATGTCCTAAAAGCTGCATATAAATAGAAACATATTTCAGATGCACTTGAGGAGGTCAGCATTTAGAGGAAATTCTTGGCAAGTTAATAAAGCATTCTCTTGCAGATAACCCTCATGTTAATGTATGTGTTTTTTTATTCTTATTTAGTCACAGCAAGTATAAATTAAGATGCCCTTGCATAAGTAAGCATTTATGTTCATTGATTATTTTCTGCTCATTATATGTGATGAAATTAATAAAAGAGTGCTTCTCATTAAATTAGGGAGCTGCAAGAGACTTTAGGCATATTCCCATTGAATTCTTCATTAAAGACACAGATCCAGAGGGTCTAAGTGACTACAGATTAAACCTAATTCCTTGATTCTAAATATTTTAAAGCAATCATCATTTTTAGGATACTGAAGATCTGTTCTCCAGATTGAGCAATTAACAGCTGTCTTCAGAGAGCCCACTGCTGAGGAGTGGGAACTTGAAACATGATTAGAAAACTGCAGCCTAATCCCCTATGTCTCTGTCCCACGTCACTGGTTCTTCTGCCTCTTCCCTGTGGCTGCATTTTGTATTGCCTCTAGAGCATCTAGGCAATTTCCAGCCTTCTTACTAAAAAAAATGCACAGCTTGAAAAAATAAAAAGCAACAGTGTTTGTTTATATATTGTTTTACTTGTTAAAGCATTAGAATGCCACGGAAAAAACCGAGTCTACATTTATACCAGGGTAAAGAAGGGAAAGAGTAAATAGCCCTTAGATGAAAGTAATAGTGTCTTAGGCATTTAAACAAGTGTGCCTTTTTTAAAATTAAATAGACCAAAGTAGACTTTTATCAGCAAGTCCTTTTGAGATCAAACTTAGCAAAAGCATGATGGGTTATTTTAAAGATTTGTTATCAGCACAGGTAGAGAATCTCACAGACTCAATCAGAGTAACAAATTTCTCCAAAAACTTTCTAAAGAAACTTCATCATCTCTTGACCATTTTGGACAGTCTAAGAATCCTTTCACTCTTTTCATCCCCGGGAAATAAAAGTAGCTCTGAGGAGCATCTCTTAACAACAGGGTCATTTGAGCCATTTGGCTAAAAATTAGAGCTTACTGTCACTCTAGATCTTCATTCATATACTCTGCCTTTCACTCCTGGAAACTTCCTTTGCTCCCTCCAGACGCGCGCCCACCGCAACCTTCCACGACAGTAAACATAACATCGTGCACGTGCACTTTGATGCGACCAGAGGATGGTTACTGACTTCGGGAACTGACAAGGTTATTAAGGTAGGACACCATCATATTTTCGCAGCTTTCTGTCTTTGTGGTTCAGTTGCTCAGTCGCGTCCAACTCTTTGGGACCCAGTGGGCTGCAGCACACCAGGCTTCCCTGTCCTTCACCATCTCCCAGGGCTTGCTCAAACTCACGACCATTGAGTCGGTCCATTTCCATCTTTGGCCCTATGTCAATGTACAGAAGCATCAAGACTGTGTGAGGTGTGCTCGGAAACTTTCTCTTAAAGCTTCCCCTGAGCAATGAGCATCTTTGAGAACCCATTACACACCGCGTACAGTCACTGGCTATACACACCAGAATGAGACCTGGCCCTCCCCTGAAAGGAACTGCTAGTCTCCTGGGGACATAACTCTTAAGAAGACAGTTAATTATTATTAACTGTCACATGTTCAGCAGCCAAAAGAGTAAAACGGACAAGAGTTACTGGGAGAGTTCAGGGGCGGAAGATGGTGCTACTGGCCTTGGCTTCGTGAGGATAGTAGGTTTTGAGCCGAGCATTGGATAAGCCAACAAGTGATAAACAAGATCTTTTCCCAGTGAGATCAGTTAATCCAGAAGCAGTCCTCCAGGGCCTCTCCAAGAACTGTGCTAGGCCCCTTGGATTCCCTGCCCGGGCCAAAGCCCAGGACTAAAGAGGCCATGCCCACGTCATTCTCTGAGGCTCCCCGTGGCAGAGGCTCGCCTGGTTCACTGAGCCCGGCTTCCTGGGCCTCTTCTGTTCCTTCGTGGAGGCAGCCGCAGGATAAGGTGGTTAGAATAACCCTCCTTGGAAGCCACCAGTCCTATGTGGCTTTTTAAAGTAAATTCTGGGCATCTGGGTTCCTTTATTTTTGAAATTGGGACATCTCGTAGAACTGTTTGGAGGATGAGATGAGATACAGAAAGGACGCAACACATCTGGCTACCCATGTGTTGCCTTATAGTGTTACTTCCCTTCTTCCTTGAATGAATCTCATCTGCCTTTATTCTCCATCAGCTGGATTAAAACTTCCAGCTGCCTTTGTCCTTTTTTTGAGGGTTATGTTGAACTTTTTGATGGACAAGTTTACTACTGTATAGATTTATCCGTGATGCTCATATAGTACTCAGTTCCTTATTAAGTTAAAAAATGCACTTGAATTCAATTACAGTGACTCCTTATACACATGATATGGCTCCTCAACCCAGCTGAATGGTAGTTCATCAGTGCTCAGTTGCTCAGGAGTGTCCCACTCTTTGCAACTACCCCATGGACCGTAGCCCACCAGGCTCCTCTGTGCGTGGGCTTTTCCAGGCAAGAACAGTGAAGTGGGTTGCCGTTTCCTCCTCCAGGTGTTCATCAGAGATCTTTTTCTTTTTACAGTTGTGGGATATGACCCCAGTCGTGTCTTGATGCCCCTTCCAGGCGCCAGAAAGACAGAATTTACTCAAGAAACGGTTGTTCTAACCCAAATCATGACTGCAGCGGTAGAGCAGATGTGCGAGTGGCGGGAGAGAAGCCGAAAAGCTGAGCTGAGCTTGCGTGTCGCCTGCACACGTGGTGAGCGGTCTGAGCTCTTGTGAGGGAACTCTTTCAACTTGTTCATACAATATAAAAAGAGGATATTTTTTTAACAAATGGTTTATACAGTCTGGCTCTGCTCCCTTGTTTTGAGTATACCGAAAACTCAGCGTGGGGTGTTTTAAGTTTTATATTTGTCAACACTTGGTTTTAGCTGTTTCTTTGTGTGTCGGAGAAATGAGGAGTGTATAACTGTTCAGGGTATTTGGGGTCGTTGTGAAGTAGTTTCCGTGTTCCTCTTCTTTGGGCACGTACCCTGTGGTCTGCATCTTCTCCCTACTCAGCTTCTTCCACGGTTCCCCGGAGTGAACATATTCACAATTTATTTGCAGTGTGTCTGCTTTCATAGGAGTCCCCCTCCATTGAGAGATCTGGAAAACCATCCTTGTGGTTTTCCCAGCTGATTTCTTAAATTGCCCGAAGGATGATCCATTTGTAATGTCTAGATCTTACAAGAGTGGAAATGACCTTATGTTTCTGCCTCAGTTTTTCTCTTTCCTACATTAAAAAAAGAAAAAAAAAAATTGCTGTGAGAAAGCCACTCCCAGCCACGGAAGTAGATTATCAAACTCAGACCTTCAACTCTCAGTGCCTGGATCCTTTCTAATTCAGTGGGAGCTTTCTGAGCCTTTTGGGTTTTAGTTTTATTGACAAAGTTCTCCTTCGCTCTTGATATTAAAAACAAGCAAAAGGAAACAACAAAACCCTGTGTCCTTCAAGAATAGTGTCTTTAAGATCTGTGGTTCTGTGTGATGTCACCTCTGAACTTGAACATGCTCATTGCTGTGAGGTTGTATGCTGCTTTATTCCTCACTGTCTGTATTTGCTTCCCCTTTCAAAACCAGATATTTAAAGATTTTTATCTTCGTGTATTTTATCAGAACACTTTGCACGCTTTAATACTCCAACCGCGTGATCTGAGACATAAAAGGTACTCAGTCCTACAGCTCATGCTGTGTGTTCCAGTTGGGAATGTACAGAAAAGATGGGGAGGGGAGGCTTTAGGAAATGAACCTGAGGAAGCCTGATTTTAAGGGAATCCAATCATCTTGATAAGTTGAGATATTCTTGTGTGTAGAGACCCATTTGGGATACTTACTTTCAACCTGTAAAAGGAGGATTTAAATGAGCAGCGGGCATGTGTTCTGTGCCTGTCTCCTTCTCAGCACTTTACCGGGACCACCTCATTCATCCCTCCCCTGTCAGGAGCATCAGGGGACCCCTGAGTCCTTGGGGTTCACACGGTGTCACAAAGCCTTGCAGATCGCAGGCCAATGACTTGCCCTTCCCTATGTGAGCCCTACCTCTGCAGGGTCTTGTTCTCTGCTGACTTGACAACTGAGGGTGGCCGTCGTTTCTCCCCTCACGATCATTGATTACTTTTCTAACTGGGAGAAGGACTCCCAGCCAGACTTGGATAACCCACCCCCTGCCCCCCGCCACCCCAACACTGACCAGCTGTGCTTCCTGGTGACAGACCTCCTCGGGACAGTTCTGCTGCTGCAGCTTTGGGACACAGGACAGTAGGCATGCCCCGTGCAGCCATGGTACATGACAGCCATGACCTGGGACATCAGGGCAGATCAGCCCACGTGACCGTACTCTGAGGCTGTGGACACAGACACACCAACGTGCAGAAGCAGTTACCACTTGCCACTCAACTGCCCCTTCCACCCTACCCTTGCTGGCCATCAGCGAAGCCATTATAACTAACCTGAGTCTCTTCTGCATGGTTGTGAGAGAGCTTTAAAAAGGGAATTAAATTTAAAATATTCAAATATCTGTTTTGTAGTTTACTACTAGAACCTGGAGCCACTTACAAAGTTGTCCGTAATAAAGAATGACATGGTAGACGTGAGCAGTAGAAATGAATGGCTCTCTTCTCCCTTCCTTTGGAGCATGGTCTGAATACAGAGAGGCAAACACAGTGTCGGGGAGGCGGTGGGTCAGGTGCCCAGCAGACCTGATGTGGTTCTGAGTTGGGTCTAGATGAGCTCAGATCACACTGGGGATGCTGATTGTCCCCGTTGGGTCACATGTGAGCCCGTGATCGCTCTGGTCTGTGACCCCTCACTTCAGGCCCCCCCGCCTCCTCCCAGCATGGCTGTACCCCTAGCTCACAGAGCCACTCAGAGGTGGAACCCCCCGGGACACACCTCCTGGTTGTGACAGTCGCGACCAGTGACCACAGACATGTCAAGGTACCCATTGCGCTGCTCTTTTATTTCTCCTCATCTGTGTAGGTGCTTTAGTTTGGTGAGAAGCACTTAGCATGCCAACTGTGTGTGTTTATAATACTGTGAATCCCTGAGTATTACATTCCCACCACCATTTGTGTAACTCATCGATATGTGTTGGTGTTGGGGTGCCTTCCAAGCATTTTATGGAATAGAGGCTTCATTCATTAGGAGCAAAAGCTGGCGCCAGCACTTGGCTTGTCTCCTGTCTGGGTTAACTCTCATCGCTCTTGTTTTACCCCACTGGAATTGCACTTTATATATATATAATTTTTCTTTTTGCTCTATTGCTTCAACATACAGAAGCTCTGGCAAGTCAAGCCTAACACGATCAATGCTGGGAAGTGGCACACTCACACATACCATGCCTGTGCCTTTTATTTGGTAGGACAGAACCAATCCCACGCTCCGTTTCTCCAGAGAAATGATGTTCCTGGACCCTTTAGCTGCCTGGGTTGTCTCCACAGCAGCACAAGTGGTTTTAGATGAAGTACTTGGAGTCATATGTCTTTTTTTTTATGAGATCGGTCAACCATGGTGTGTTTCTCACTGGATTGTTTGAATGTTATGCAAAGAATCGTAAAATCACAGAACTGGAAGGGACTCTTCAGACCTCTAGAATGTTCCAAGCACAGTCACACCAAGCAGTGAGATATAGTTGAGGTATCGGCAAGGGGAATCTATAAGAACTTTGGAAGAACAGTTGTTTTTGAATGTGAACCCATAATGGCGTACGTGGGAGGAATGAGTTTGAGGCTCAAGGCAGGGAGCCGTCAGAACTGGGTCTGGTCCTCTCATCACAGGCAAATCTCATACCTCCCCTGGCTCTGAGTGGGTGGGTTCGTGCAACGAGGTGGGCGCTGCAGGCCTCCATCAGCCTAACCAGCTTCCTGCACCCGCCCCCACCGACCTTTCCAGCCATGCAGTGTAAGTGGAAATCAAGGGGCACTGAATCTGCACCTTACCCTCTGTGTGCAGGTGGGCCCCGGGCGAGCCTCCTCATTGCCCTTCCTGTGAAATATCGCCTTTTCCTATTTTTGATACTCATTTTTTCAAAAGCCTAATTTATTTTTGCTTGACATTACTCAAATTTTAAAACCTGAATTTTACCTTGTAAGCAAGGGATTTAGTCTGAACTGTGTATCAAAGTTACCAGACATAAATATCCATTAAACGAGATCCCTTTGGTTTTGCCCTTTCATAGTAGTATAATTGTAAGTGACCTTGTCCACTAAGATTTCTGTTTTAAAATGAAAGAAAACATTTTGCCAATGCTTTTTGGCATTTTCTCTCTCCTCTAGAACAAAGTTAAGTTGCATTTTTCTGGATGTGAGGGTGGCTGTCTATCAGCGTGATGGGAAAACACAGAGATTAAGTCCATCCTGAGCATCGAGGGATCTAGATGACTGTTGAGGCTCTTAACTTTCATAGTCCAGCCCTTTGCTGAGTGTCCACCACATACCAGGCTTTGAACCAGGCCTGGGGTCAAGAGGCCCATTCTGTGGTTTGGGCAGAGGCCACATAGACAAGTTGGTGTTCAGTCACTCAGTCATGTCCGACTCTTTGTGACCCCATGGACTGCAGCATGCCAGGCTTCCCTGTCCATCACCAACTCCTGGAGTTTGCTCAAACTCATGTTCTTCGAGTCGGTGATGCCATCCAACCATCTCATCCTCTGTCGCCCCCTTCTCCTCCTGCCTCAATCTTTCCCAACATCAGGGTCTTTTCCAATGAGTTGGCACTTGGCGTCAGGTGGCCAAAGTATTAGAGCTTCAGCTTCAACATCAGTCCTTCCAATGAATATTCAGGACTGATTTCCTTTAGGATTGACTGATTTCATGTCCTTGCTGTGGCTCATTTCTGTGCCATACGGTGACTCTGGTGACAGAGGGTGTGGGGTCCCATCCCAGGAGCTACACAGGTACTCTTACACCCACAGGGAAGGGGGGAACCCAGAGGAAAGGACTCCAGAGCTGAGAGTTAAATGAAGAGTTGGAATGAGCTGAGGAAGGCTGAGTTTCCAGGCTGTGGAAGCAGTGCCAGCAAAGGCCCAAGACCTGCACCAGCCTGGCACTGGGGTCCCACCCAAGGTTTGGAGCTCCAGAGTAGTGCGTGCGCAGCTGCAGTCCTAGAGCCTGCAGTCCTCTCATCTCTATCAGACAAGATGCTCATGGCCGCAGGGGGAGGGAGGCAGCCCACAGTTCACCAAGCACCTTTACCCAGAGGCTTGCCAGACAAGTCCAGTCTTCCTGCAGCTGAGGCCAGTATCAAAGTTTCTTTTTCTTTGGAAACACCTGGAATTATCTTAAAAAGGACCCCTGGTTAAACTTTATTTTGGGGCACAGCCACCTACTGGAGGCCATGAGGTGGGGCTGGAGACCACTACTTGCCTGGTTTTGGTCTGGGCAAGCTTGTTGTGAGCTCAGTCACTAAGTCATGTCCCACTCTTTGCAACCCCGTGGATTGTAGCCCGCCAACCTCCTCTGTCCGTGGGATTCTCCAGGCAAGAGTATCAGAGTGAGTTGCTACTCCCTCTGCAGGGCTTCTTCCTCACCCAGGGATCGACCCCAAATCTCTTACATCTCCTCCATTGTCTGCAGATTCTTTATTACTGTGCCACCTGGGAAGTCCCTAGATGAGCTTACAACATACTAATCCCATTATTTCCTGGGGCAGGGGCGGGGGGGGGGGGGGGGGGGGGGGAGGTTCGGCTGCTCTCCTTTGAAAAAGGACAGCCCTTGACCTGTGGAGGAGGGCATTCTGGACAGCAGAGGCCGTGCACACACGTGATCTCTCCATGAGCAAGCAGACCACTGCTGTCCTCATTTCCCTCTGG